AATCAAGCCCTGCATGCTCACTGCACATCCTGAGGACCCACAACATCTCTGGCTTATCTTTTGCCTCTCTACATATCTCTTTCGCGACTGTCTTTGTCTTTCCATCACGCTCTCTCTCTCCCAGCATACTGTCAGAACCTCGAAACGCAGATATGCTTTACTTTCACGTATGTTACGCTTGGGCTGTTGAGCCTAATATGTTAATAAGTAGTTTCCCGGCTCGACGGGGCGTCTCTGATTGTTGAGGTGAAGCTTTGTGCTCACTGCCCCCTACTGCCTGCAGCCTGCATACAGCTGTTCATCTCATTTCCCTTACAGAGTCTGCATTAGCACATCTCAGAACTCATGTGGTGGTTATTTAGCACCAGTTTGATCCGTATTTGTATGTGTTTGAAGGTCCAACAGGTTCAGCATGTGTACCAGTCCCAGGTGCAGTACGTGGAGGGAGCTGAGGCCGTCTACCCCAATGGCACAATGTAAGCACATATCAATCTGTTAAAACAATCTGTCAAACCTGTTTTCAGTTGTTCACTTTGTGCAGGCAGCTGAGGGTGCCCCATTGATGTCAAAACATTTTTCAGGCCCTATTTTGTACCTATTTTTTTTAATATGGAGTTTAATAATGACTGGCTGTGTGTTGTAATATCTAGTCTGAAGACTATATCAATATTGAAAACCCTAGCAGCTTTCTGTCTATTTTTGTGAATGTTCATGTCCACTGTGTAGTTAATTAGCTAATTAAATATTGACAAATTAGCTAATATTAATGCTCCAAAATTGTATATAATATGGCCTCTTTAACTGGTCATGAAAGATGCCTATTCAGGATATAGATGGAGGCCAGATTAAATCCAACGTCTGTTAAAGACTGTCGAAAAATCAAAAGATGCTCTTTAAAAGTTAAAATTACGTGAAACACTAAACATTACTGTCTTTATCTCTTCCTTCAGTCGTACTGCATACTCGTACAACCCAGAGTCCCAGCTGTATGGACAGGGCAGTGGAAGCACCTATTTCGACTCTCAAGCAGGTGGTACTCAGGTTACCACTGTTGTCTCTTCTGCTGGCGGAGTGCCCACTCACAGCATGGTGGGAATCGCCATGGACATGGGCAGCAGTCACATCATTTCCAGCGGCAGTGCCTACTTGATCCATGGCGGGATGGAGAGCGGCCGCCACCACACCTCTCACTCCTCACGCTCTTCATCCGCAATGGTATGGTTCGCTGTGCTGAAATCCTTCAAGACTGGTCCACTACTGACATGGGAGGGGCGTTTTTAGACTTAGAAAGCTGTGGTTTTGGAAATGTAAGCATAGTCTAATAACACTATTTTATTGTTTAGATGATGTGTAACTGGAATGTACTTTTCATGTCTTTTAACACCGAAAAAAACATTCAACCCATCCCTCATTTTATAAAATCCAACAAAAATTGTGTTTAAAATAATTACACTAGCAAAGAAAGTCTATGGGGCACTGCATTGCAGCAGAGTAAACTTAAATACATGCATTTTAAGTATAGTCACAAAAACTAAACATTAATATGAGACTAGATTTATAAAATCACATACAATTATATTCAATATTTTAACTGCAAGGATACCAGAATGAAACAGTTTATGCAGAGAATTAAGTCAGTAAAGCATAACTAGAAGTTTATCCGCCTTGAAAAGTAGCTAAATGTATAATCTAGGCAAATTTATATCTGAAAGAAAGAAATAATACCACTGCAACATAAATATACAGGCTGCATTTCTGCATCTCCTCTAGAATTGCTTCTTTTTTTACAAACTGAAGGATGAGTCAAAATGACTTTCTGTGGTAATCCGCAATATGTCACAGATGATGTTGACGGAGCTCAATTTACAGTACATTCCTTAAGACGAAAGTGTTTTGCTTTTATGTGCATTTCTCAAACAGTAACGTCACAGATTAATCATGCAAACACATTTTTTCCCTTACCAATACTCTGTAGAGAAGAGATGACACACACTGTCATCAGAGTGTAGCTTTTTTCCACAGTGTGCTAGTTTATGAGGTAGGCTGGGAGCAGGGACAGGGCTTAAGGAGGCGACTGCCTCTAAATAATCCAGCTCTGCCTTGTTTTATCAGTTTTCACAGCCACTTGAGTGGCCTCTGAAACAAAGCAACCCCTGGGGCTCATTACCATTTGGCCAAGGGCCCTCGGGAGCCTTTTAA